CTTTATCCATTCATCCATCAATGGACATTTGGGCTCTTTCCATACTTTGGCTATTGTTGATAGTGCTGCTGTAAACATGGAGGTGCATGTGTCCCTTCGAAACAGCACACCTGTATCCCGTGGATAAATGCCTAGTATTGCAGTTGCTGGGTCGTAGGGTAGTTTTATTTTAGTTTTTTTGAGGAACCCCCATACTATTTCCCAGAGTGGCTACACCAGCTTGCATTCCCAACCATTTTTTTTTTAATTGTAGACAGATTACCTCTGTGAGTTTTAAGATGATTATGATGGCTCCAGATTGATGTCATCTCAGCTTAGCCAACTTAGAGAAAAAATATATTCTTTCTTCTGGTGTCCATCTATAAATTCCAGGGAAGGACCCCAATAGGTCCTACTTTATTCACATTCCCACATGTTAGACTAATCACTATTTCTCAGGGTAGAAGCACTGTGATTGATTAATTTCTGGTCATTTGCTTTCTGTGGGGCACAGAGCACTGTAATTTACAGTCCTACCAAAACCACATAGAATGTAAGGTAGATGAGCCCTTCAAAGGCAAAAACAGCATACATTTACCACACTTGAGATATAGGATAGTATGGCAGAGTGCTTATGAATAGAGGAGTCAGAATGTGCTTGTTTCAGATCTTGACTCAGAGTAACCATGTGCAAGTTGAGTGACCATGTGCAAGTTAAGTTACTTTTTTTTTCCATCAGTAATCTACCTTTTAGAGAATTGGTATTTTATGAAAGGTAACTAGAGAAATGACCTCATTGATAAGTTTACTTTTGGGCAAAGTCCTAAAGAGGTGAGAGAGAGAGAACCACAGAAGTATTTGGGGTAAAAGTATTAACTTTTTCAGTATATTTTTCAATATCATCATCATTACCATACCATAAAAATTATTTCATTAAATGAGAAGCAATATGAAGTGGAAGGACTTTGTAGGCAGAGAAATCTAGTTTCAAGTTTCATCTCTGGCATATATCAAATGTATGGTGTTAGAAAGCCTACTTTTTAGAATTTATTTTTAAGACAATTATAGTTAATACAAGACTTATGTCAAAGGGTATTGTGAAAGACTAGCTGAAATAACTTAAAACAATCTTGGTGCATAAGAAATTCCCTACCTCCTCATTTTTTTTCCCTTTCTTCTAGCTCTTTCATAGTCCATTGTTATTATATTACCTTTCTTACCTATTATCTTTATTCAGAGTAGGTAAACCTTTTACTCTACAACTCCATGCTTTTTTTCCTACTCTTTTTAAAAAGTTCCTTTATCTCCTTTTCTTTATTCTAAATAAATTCATCCCATGTAGGTAGCATCTCCTAGATTTGGTGGCTGGAATTGGTGTTTTCAGTCTCAGCAACTAATATATTAAAAGGATCTACTCTCTCTAATTATGTTAGAGTATGTAAGACTGAAAGTAAAACCTGGGTGGTGATGCTGCTGTAGAATAAAATTAGTAGAAGGCAGAGATTCTCATGTTTATTTTTTATTATTGTACCTACCATATTCAGTTATATGTCATATGAGTATGGTCTAATAAGAGCTATAGATTACTATAATTCACTTAGCAAAACAGTCACTTTTTTTCATAAATAAGAAAATGTCCTATTTAACTCTGGAAGATAATAAATAATAAAAAATAAACTTTATATGGTATTTATCCGTGTACCTACATGTATTTCAGAAAGCAGTTTTGGGCAAATGCATGAAACTTAAAATTTATTTTGAAATTAAAACTTCTTTTCAGAACGTTAATTTTACTACTATCCAAAGGAAATACTTCAATGAAACAAAAGGACTAGAGTACATTGAACAGCTATGCATAGCAGAATTTAGTACTGTCCTAATGGAGGTTCAGTCCAAGTAAGTTATGACTTAATGAAAGTAATAAATCTCTAGTTTGGGTTCCATGAGAGCAAGGTCTTTTATCTTTTTTTTTCTCTGCTGTATCCTTACAAAAGTCTGGCTTATAATACATACTCAGTAATTACTAAAATAGTAAAATACTTAGCTAAAATTTATACACAAGGCATATCTTGGTAACTTAATTTGTATTGAATTTCTCCAAATAAGTCATAATCTGTGGCCATTATGGTTGCTGCTCACTTTACTTTGGAGTGAAATGCTCAAGTAGCTACCGTAACCTAGAAATGTGAGACATAGAGCTGTGTTCCTGTAACTTTGTACTCCTAAGAGACTCAGCTAAGACAGGGAATGATATTTTTAGGAAGGATATTTTTTAGAACATATTAAATAGATACTTTCTTTGAGCCAGGTTAGACTATTTGTTTACTCAGTTAATCACAGTGACTCCCCTCATCAAGATCATGACAGTTTTCTATATATTAGAACTTCCTAATTCTACCTTTAAAGCTGTCAGACATTTTCAGCATTATTTAAATTCTTAGAATGGTACATCAAAAATTGACACACAATTGAATATTGTCTTCTAACACATGATTTATTGGAGTCCTTAGGTGTCAGACTTCAGAAAATTGTCTATTTTTATCAACTCTTATGTTTTAGAGGTTGTTTAGCTAGTTTTCAAAAGTAACACTTGGTGTGTTTTTTTCCCTTTGAATTTAAGCAATGCTATGTAAGTATTTATAATTTTCCTAATATTGAGGTGAAATAAATGTTTTATTTTATAGCAATAATTTTTATTTATTGTAAAGATTTATTTATTGTAAATTTTTATTTATTGTATAGTGATGTATCTTTGGTCACCTTTCAGGTATTACTGTCTTGCAGCTGTTGCAGCTTTATTAAAATATGTTGAATTTATTCAAAATTCAGTTTATGCACCAAAATCGCTGAAGATTTGTTTCCAGGGTAGTGAACAGACAGCCATGATAGATTCATCATCAGCCCAAAACCTTGAATTACTAATTAATAATCAAGACTGTAGGTAAGATCATCCAATTTTTTTCTTAAAAAATGTATCAGTGTATTTTATTATGTCCTATTTTTCTATGAATAGTTACTTTACATTTTGAAAAATTGTAGAAATATTGAATAAACATATTTTTAATCATTGTACCATTGTTGCTGAACTGCTCAGATGTTTCACTAAGTCAAATTTTAGAAAGATATTTGTATGAAACAACAACAAAAAAATCCATTTCAAAACTAGGCAAAGGACTTGAATGGACATTTCTCCAAAGAAGATATACAAATGGCCAATAAGCACATGAGAAGATAATAAGTATCACTGGTCATGAGAGAAATGCAAATCAAAACTACAATTGCTACTTCCCAGCCATTAAGAGGTCATTATCAAGTAAATGGAAAAAAAATGTTTGCCAGGATGTGGACAAATTAGAACCCTGGTACATTTATGATGCGAATATCAAATGGTACAGTCACTTTGGGAAATAGTATGGTTGTTCCTCAAAAAGTTAAATATAGAACTACTGTATGATCCAGCATTCCACTTCTTTTTTTTTTTTTTTAACATTTATTTATTTTTGAGACAGAGAGAGAGAGAGAGAGCATGAATAGGGGAGGGTCAGAGAAAGAGGGAGACACAGAATCCGAAACAGGCTCCAGGCTCTGAGCTGTCAGCCCAGAGCCCGACGCGGGGCTTGAACCCACGGAGCGTGAGATCATGACCTGAGCGAAGTCGGACGCTTAACTGACTGAGCCACCCAGGCGCCCCTCCACTTCTAAGTATATAGCAAAAAAAATTGAAAGCAGAGACTCAGATACTTGCACACAAATGTTCATAGCAGCATTATTCACAGTAGCCAAAAGGTGGAAATGAACCAAATGTCTAACAATGAGTGACTGACTAGATAAATGGAATAAGATATATAGATAATGTATAATGGAATATCATTCAGCCTTAAAAATGGGTCAAATTCTGATACATGCCACAAGATATATGGATTGTGAACACATTGTACTAAGTGAAATAAGCCAAACACAAAAGGAAAAATATTTTATAATTCCACTTAGGTACCTAGACTAGGCAAATCAACAGAGACAGAAAGGCAAAAATTATCAGGGACTGGGGACAGTTGGGAATGGGTAGTTACTATTTGGTGGATTCAGTTTCTGCTTGGGATGATGAAAAAGTTCTGGAAATGGGGAGTGGAAGTGGTTGTACAATACTGTGGGTATATTCAATGACGCTGAATTGTGTACTTAAAATGATAAAAATATAAAATTTATGTTGTGTGTTTTACCACAATGAAAAGAAGATACTGTGTCCAGAATACCACAAAGTTGGAATAATGAGCTTTAAAAGCATCAAGTACAGGAAATTTAAGGGTCTATGTAATTATTTGAGAAGATAAAAATAGTTGATCAACTGGGTCTATGGTATATGACTAGATTGCTGGTTTTATTGGTTTATTATTAACTTTATTTAGAGTACCAGGAATATTGATGGTGAGCATGAGAGAGAGACAGAGAGAGAGATGTGTGCAGACAGACACAGTGTTTATAGATTTCATAGTGGGGTACTTAAAATAGAATTAAAATGTTAATAGAAAATAACATAATCAACATGTGACAGTGTAGTGGGGATGTATTAACATGGGTTCAATTTGGTACAAATAATTAATGAGCCACGGTTTTTCTCCTTGAGGAATTACAATCTAGAGGAGACACATGGATGGCATTATTAGCACATACTAAGTATGGTGATAAAAGTTTGCATAAAAATGATGCATTTCTCATAGCAGAGAAAGAGAGTTAATTGGGCTTGGGTTAAGGGTTAAAGGAAAGTAATTAGGAAAGGCTTTCTAGAGGAGATAATACACGAGGTAAGTTTTGAAATATAAATGGGAGTTACCCAGATGAAGAAATAGGAAAGATGGTATGACAGTGAAAAATAAAATCTTGAAAGCATGATTTTCAATGGAATAATATGCTATATACAAGGAAACAGTATTACGAATTGGTAAAGTACAGGCTGGGAGTAAGTAAGCTTGAAGTAGTTAAATCTAAGCTTCTGGTAATTAAATATAACATCAGTCATTAATGAAAGGGATAAACTTAAAATGATTATGAATTTTAATATTAAGAGTATTGATGGGAATAAAGAGCACTTTAGACAGTTAAAACCTTAAGGTGCTCAGTGCCAGTTTAGAGCCATAGTTGTTTAAATATCTCTGTCATTTTGTATATTCTTATCTTGGCTTCACTTTCCATTATGTGAAATTGTCAGACATTATTTGCTGTTGTAAACTTAGAAACACAGGCTAATTTTGTTAATTATTTATATTCTAATTCTTATGAGTAGTTTAGATCTATCCAGGACCTGTTGATACAACTTTTAGTAAGAGTGGTACTGTATATACTACTTTTAGTTATCTATCAGTATGGTGGTCTCAGTACCTTTGCAGTTCCATTGATTATTGATGGTCTAAAATTACAGCCTTAAAGAATTTATAGTTAATTGTAGTTATTATTTCTTTTCAGCTTAGTGAATAAGTAATATTTTTCCTCTTGCTACTTAAAAAAGGATTAAAATAATATCTAGAAAAATTTCTCTGTTACTTTCTATGTTACAATAACAGTAAATAGAAAGTCCATAACTAAGGCTGGTAATTATTACAAAATGTTTTATACTTTGTCACATTTCATAGTTCATCATTATTTATCATTATCATTGTCAAACATTGCTTGAGTTCCTGCTGTATATTAAGTGACAGGATATTTGACCTCTGGGAGGTCACATTATAGTTGAAAAGGAGAAATTGAGGTTTCTTCACAGACTTGAGCCAAAGAATATCAGGTTAAGAGATAGATATTCTACCTCCTGAGCTATCTGAATAGCTCTAATGCTTTTATAGGCTGGTAACCTGTTCAGTTTCACCCTTCAATTTCTTTTTTTTTTTTTAATTTTTTTTTCAACATTTATTTATTTTTGGGACAGAGAGAGACAGAGCATGAACGGGGGAGGGGCAGAGAGAGAGGGAGACACAGAATCGGAAACAGGCTCCAGGCTCTGAGCCATCAGCCCAGAGCCTGACACGGGGCTCGAACTCCCGGACCGCGAGATCGTGACCTGGCTGAAGTCGGACGCTTAACCAACTGCGCCACCCAGGCTCCCCTCACCCTTCAATTTCTATAGCAAATGGCAGGTTTGGGTGTGCTGCTCACTTCCTTTTTTCCTACAGAAGGCCAGTTCTCAAAAAGTTGAAAAAAAAAAAAAAGTGCCTGTGCTGAAACCCCCAATCCTACTCCACCAGGACTTGGTTTGAGTAGTTCTTTAAAAATTTGTTTAAATTGATATACCAGGGGTACCTGGCTGGTTGGTATAGCATACAACTCTTGATCTCAGGGTTGTGAGTTCGCCCACATGTTGGGGGGTAAAGTTTACTTAAAACAAAAATACAGATATACCAAAAATCTACTAAGACTAAGAGTCATTCTAGTTTTCTCTCCTTTTTCAACTCATATTCAACCCAGATTCAATCCACTACTAAATCCCCTTGAGTCAGCCTTTAGAATACATACCAATTCTGGATCACATCTTAACCATTTCCAAGGCTACACCCTAACCCAAACCTCTATCATTTTAGCCTGGACTATTGTAATAGCCCCTAACTTGTTTCTCTGCCTTCTTTTTACCCTCCTATACTTAGTCTATTCTTGATCTAGTGGACAGACTGTGATCCTTTAGGAATCAGATCTTGGAACTGTCCTGCTAAAAATCTTCCAGTGGCTCCCATTACATTTAGAATAGAATCCAGTCTTTAGCATGGCATACAAGGACTTATATGTCCTGACCTCTATCAACTTCTTTATCTCCCTCCATTCTTACTTTTACTTGCATATTCCCACCAATCTTGATCTTCTTTTTGGTTCTGGAACCAGAAAGGATTGCTGGGCTTAAATTAGTGTTCTGATGGGCCCTTTTGAACTGATAACTCTTTTCTTGTTATTTACTTATTTGGAAACCTTGGACAAGTTACTTAATTTCTTTGTGCTTCGTTCCTTATCTTGTAAAATGTAAATATAACATCTACCTCGTAGTGGTTATTAGAATTAAATAAGTTGATATATGCAAAGTGCTTATAACAATGCCTGGCACATGCTTAGTGTTCAGTATATGTTACCTGTTGTCAGCATCATCCCCATCCCATCATCATCTTTGCAAGGATACCTTTTGAATTCAACCATCAAATACACATATAGGTCTTTCTCAATGAACTTAACTAAAGTAACCTTCCTGGTCATTCTCTATACAATCCTGTTTTGGTTGTTGGTTTGCTTAACGCTTTTCTGTACCTGAAATTCTTTTCTTCTCTTTTACTTGTAGTTTTCTTCTTAAGTTAGAACAAAGTGATTATATTAAATATACATTTTTTTTCAGTGTGAAATTACTGATATCTTTCTATTATTGATGGAATGTCATGGGCTAGAACATTTTATATTAGTCTGAATATTGTAGCTGACCTATGAGAAAATTCATTAAATGCAAGAAGATATGTCTATCCTTTGTTAATGAAAGCATGGTTCATTGATAGTGTACTTGGAAGCTTATTCAAAATATATATTCTCAGGCCTCATCTCAGACTTACTGAATTAGAATTCCCCATGTGATTTGTATGCACCTGAAAGTTTAAGAATCACTACTTTAGATGACAGGATTATTTAGAAAGCTAAATGGTAACTTTTATTTGGGTATTTCCTGTATAATTAATGAAATTTTCCCAATTTGTGTTTTCAAAGGAATAATCACACACTGTTTGGTGTTCTAAATTACACTAAGACTCCTGGAGGAAGTAGAAGACTTCGTTCTAATATATTAGAACCTTTAGTTGATATTGAAACCATTAACATGAGATTAGATTGTGTTCAAGAGCTACTTCAAGATGAAGAACTCTTCTTTGGACTTCAGTCAGGTAAACGAATATAATCTAATTTTATGAATACAAATTATTTAGTAAATACATTGTCTTCTTATAAGAATACTAGTCATATTGGATTAAGGCTCACCCTAATAACCTTATCTTAACTTGATTATATCTATAAAGATCCAATTTCCAAATAAGGTCACATTCAGATACCAGGGTTTAGGACTTCAAAATATCTTTTTGGGGGACACAATTCAAGCCCGATAACATAAGGTAAGAGAATTGCCTTTTGCACCTGGCTATTTGTTCACTCATAGGGAAGTACAGTTCTCTTCTTAAATCTATGGGTGGGGCATCTGGGTGGCTTAGTGAGTTGAACATCCAACTGTTGATTTTCACTCAGGTCATGAACCCAGGTTTGTGGGATCAAGCCCCATGTCAGGACAGCACAGAACCTGCTTGGGATTCTCTGTCTGTGTCTCTGTCTCTGTCTCTGTCTCTCTCTCTCTCTCTGGATCCCCCTCTCCCTCTCTCTACCTCCACCCCCCGCTGCCCTCCTTGTGCTCTCTCTCTCTCTCTTTTAAAAAAAAAAAAAATGTATGGGCGAAAGGAGAATATATATGCACTGATCCCAGTCCAATTCCTGGTTCCTAGCAGCTTGATCGGTCTTTCATACACCCACTATCCTAGCCATCCCACCTGGTGTTCTGGTAGTCTAAACTGAAGTGATACATGAAAATCTAGAAGGCATTGGGAAAATGCCACAACCCCAAGATCAAGAATTACATGTTCCACCAACTGAGTCAGCCAAGTACCCCATGTGTAAATTTTTAAAGAAATAAATTTCAGAGCTAAAAAAAGAAGGGAAATGCAAAGAAGTATGAAGAAAATTACTATAAAAAAAGGCAGTAATTCAATAAGGAGAGATATTTAGTAGTATCATCTTAATTGGAGTTCAAATAGAACTAATATGTGTCCATTAAACTTAACAATGGTGAACCTATGGATGACTATCTTAGGTTGGGTTCTTCAGAAGCAGATCCTGATATGAGGATTGATGTGAATATAATTTATTAATTTGAATGTGCTTGTAAGAGAAAACAGGAAAGGAGAAAAAGACAGGGAAGGGGAGAAAAAGCCAAGCAAAAGTATAATTTCAGGCAACATCCTAAATAAGGTAACTTCAACTGATACTTCTGGACATTAAGTTGCATTTAGGGTTTTCAGAGTGGGGCTTTCACACTCCCACTTCATTTAGTGACTTAAGGAGTGCAGGGCGCTTTTGGCCCTCTGCTTGAGAGCAAAGTGCTGTAACAGTCTAGGGGCAGGACTCCAAAAAGACTCCAGGTGTGGGCCAGCAGAAGCAAAAGCCATGCAGAGCAAGACAAGGGGTACACAGAAAGATAAAAGAGACCCAAGAGGATCTTGACAAAGAACCAGGAATATCTACTACAGTAACCTTGACTAGAGGAATCTCACACAGCACAGAAACAAGACTACAGCAGATTGAAATGTAGTTAAGAGACGATAGCGAGTGTGGAAAATTTGTCTTTCAACAAGTTAGCCTATAAATTAGAAGAAGAGAAAGATAAGGTGAGCAGAGGGGAAGGAAGAGGGAGAGAGAGAGAGAACCCCAAGCTCCGTGCTAAACGTGGAGCCTGACACAGGGCTCGTGGAGCCTGACACAGGGCTCAATCCCATAATTCTGGGATCATGATCTGAGCCAAAATCAAGGTTTTATAATTGGTTTTATAATTATCATTCACATAGTCATGACTTCCAAATGTACATTTCATGTCCAGACATCTCTACAGACTTTTAGCCCCATATATCTTATTGTCTACTGAACACTTATTAGATCTTTCTCAATCATTTCAAATTCATTGTGTCCAAACTGTGCCATCCTCCTTTCTAAATCATTCTTCCTTATTTCAGTGAAGAGTTATACATCCAGCCTCTCTACCACGACAGATACCAGGAAGTCATTCTTAACTCTTCTCTTCCCTGAAATCAATCATCAAATTCTGCAAAGTCTCCTTCCTATATATCTTTTGAATGCGTTGGCTTCTATTCCCAGTGCTGCAGCTCCCAACCTGGGCTACCATTTATATATTTTTTGATTTATTGTAACAGCCTTGTGTTTGATCTCTTTCCTCCAGTATTTCTTTTTATAGTCTCTTCTCTATACTGCAGCCTGAATGAGATTTTGAAAATATAATTCTTAGCATATTACTCTGTTTTGATTTTTATTGTTGGTATAACAAATTACCACAAATTTAGTGGCTTATAATAACATGAATTTATTTTCTTAGAGTTCTGGAAGTCAGAAATCAGTTCTGTTGGGCTAAAATCAATGTTAGCAGTTCACATTCCTTCTGGAGGTTCTATGGGCCAATGTATTTCCTTACCTTTTCCAGTTTCTGGAGGCTGTATACTATTCCTTGGTTCATTGGACTTTCTCCATCTTAAAAGCCATACGTATAGTATCTTTTCTACTTTCTGACCTCTGCTTCTGTCCTTGTATCTTCTTTTTCTAATTGATCCTACTGCCTCTGTCTTATAAGGACTCTTGTGATTACTTAAGGACCAATAAAAATCCAGAATAATCTATTTCAAGATGCTTAACTTAATTCCATCTTCAAAGTTTTGTTTACTAGGTAACATATTTGCACGTTGCAACAATTAGGATATGGACATCTTTGGGGGTACCACATAACCCACTTACATAAAATTATTCAATCTCTTCTCATTACTTTTGGTATAAAGTCCAGACTCTTCTATATGACTTTTTCCCTGTCATCTCCCACAGCATCTCTTGCTACTCCTCATTTTGCATTCTGCCTTTTAGTATAATTGACCTTTTTTAGTTACTTGAACAGATCCTCTCTCATGGTTCAAGCTTGGTACTCTGTACTCTTTGCCTAGAATTTTCCTTCTCCATAGCTTGCGACCTCTCCTCCCAAGCAATCCTTAGCTAACTACAGTTCATCTTTTACCATTCCAGTTTAGATGTCACTTATGCTAGAAGCCTTTCTGACTCCTCAAGTCTGTGCTAGTCATTTTTTCTACATCTCGTTATGTAGTATCTTATTTTGTCACTTACCTTACTGGATTGTAAGTGCATGTTTTATTGGAGGATTCCCGTTAGAAGCTAGGATATAACAGGTGTTAATATTTGTTAAACTATTGATTTATTATTGAACTTGTTGAAAATTGTATTCTGTTGTTTCCAAGATTGTGTTTTATAGGATATTAATGAAAAACTTGAATTTTCTTTGTTTGAAACTTTAATTTTGATATATTTTAAACTTTAATTTCATTTTTTTTACTATTTCTAAAAAACTTTTTAAATGTTTATTTATTTATTTTGAGAGAGAAAGAGCTCAAGCAGGAAGGGGCAGAGAGAGAGAGAGGGAGAGAGAATCCCAAGCAGACTCTGCGCTGTCAGCACAGAGCCTGATGCAACGCTTGAACTCACAAACTGAGATCATGACCTGAGCCAGAATCAAGAGTCAGATGCTTAACTGACTGAACCACCTAGGGGCCCTAAGCTTTATAATTTCTTATACCTGAAAGTTTTAAAATTTGCATCTACATATGTAAAACACTTCTATGCTTTCTATATCTTGACAGTTTATAATTTATCTTAACATACAATAAAGTATGGGAGCAAGAACAGAGACAGAGCAAGGTGGGAGGGTAGTTTTGTTTGTTTGTTTTTGTTTATTTTTGAGAGAGAGAGAGAGAGAGACAGTGTGAGTGGGGAGGGGCAGAGAGAGGGAGACACACAATCCAGAGCAGGCTTCAGGCTCTGAGTTGTCAGCACACAGCCCAAAGTGGAGCTCAAACTCACCGACCAGAAGATCGTGACCTGAGCCGAAGTCAGACACTTAACTGACTGAGCCATCCAGGTGCCCCGGGAGGGTAGTTTTTATACTTCATTAAAATAGGAGAATCTGAATCTCATTAAAACAACAATGACCTAGTACTTACTTTATTTAGGCATTTTATAGGTATTAGGGATAAAAACGTGGAGGATTAAGCTATAAGTTTCTGTCCTCAAGGATCTTATACTCCTGTTAGAGGAGGAGAATTCTAAATAAATAATTGATACAATGCAATCAATGCAATACTAATTGAGTATTATTTTATGGGAACACAGAAGAGTGAGCTGGGATAAAGACAGAATCCAGGATCCAAAGATAATACTTCTGTTCTATATTAAAGGAATGGGTAGGATTTTGACAAGAGAGGCCTAGAAATGGTAATTTAAGACAAAGGAAACATACCTGTGCGAGGTATGCTGATGCACATAGGGCGACAAAAATGTTTTTGTGGATGTAGTGGCGGGGATAAATATCTGCTATTGGCTGTGATCTTGAGTGGTCATTACTTTCTAGGGGACACTTGCTTTTCTAGGAACTGGGGGAAGATAGAGTTACCATAAGCTTCTGCAGTTATATTTGCAGTTGATATGAAAGAGTTTGATGTGTTTAAGGCATGGCCGGTGGTTACTTACAATTTGAAGCCTTGAGGAATAGCAGGAAATGAGGATTGGGGCTAGCTTATGAAGGGCTTTTATGTAATGCTAAGAAATTTGTTTTTTTTTTTTTTTCCTGCAAGTAGTAGGGAGCTGATGATTCTGAACCAGGAGAGTAATATGACCAAACCTTTATTTTAGAAACATTAGCCTGGTTGTTATGGTAGATTTAGGGAAGGGAAGAAGAAAAGACCAAAAAAGAAAAAGGCCAATCCATATGAGGGTTTAAGAGTCTGATTAGTGGAATCACATGTAAAATGTCATAATAGTATTATGTTTTATTGAACAGTAATAACAGTAGCATGCTCAGTCTATTTACTGTTACTTCTTAAACATAGTTTTAACATAAGTAATTAGAAGCAGCAGATTCGAAAGGGTCAGAGTTCTAGAGGTAGGCAACTGAAAACTATCACAAGATACCTGACAACTTGAACAGGAAGAAAGCAATGTACAGTTTTTGTCTTTTTGTTTTCTTTAAGTGTAACAGGTTGGAGCCACTTTGTGAAAGTATCAATAATAAGTCTACACAAAAGTTCTGAGGTCATATGTTTCAGTGATGATAATAATCATGAGTTATTAAGAAAGAGTTACTATAGTTCACTGTATTTTAAGTATGAGGAAATGAGTTCATTAAAAAGTCTGTATGTTAAATGGCAAGGTTTAAAAAAAACTGGAGATATTTAAAAGGGATAGATTACAGTTATCATACAGTTACTTTTATAGAATATTTTAAGCTGGAAAGTGAGTTGAAAAAAGCAAAAGAACAGTTTTGAGCTCGGGTATGTGCAAGGAACTTTACACATATTATCTCCTTTAATCCTCACAACAACCATAGGAGGTAGATGTTACAATCCACATTTTAAAAATAAGAACAACCAAAGTTCAGAGAAGGTAGGTAAATTCTGTTAGGTGACATGGTTAGTGGTTGAACTGAGTTTTTAAACAAACTAATCTTAAGTATCAGGAAGAAAAGTTAGAGATCAAAAAGGTGAAAAGAAATTTATAATTAGCATCTAAAAGCCAGAGAAGTGTAGTTTTTAGAAGGAAAGGGTAATCAATAGTATCAGATTTGAAGACGGATTATAACTAATAAAATTAAGAAAAGATCATTAGAATTTATTGTTTTATTCCTGACATGTAAGATAGGTAAAGACAATTAAAACACATAATGTATGTAGGTAGAACTGTTCTGTTTTATTATTTGAGGATAATACTTTATATAAATACTTTATATTTTGAACTGTAACACAAAGTTTTTTTAAAATTTTTTTGTCGTTGTTGATTACAATTTTATTTATAATACCAAGATATGGAAACAACCTAAGTGTCAACGGATGTTGGATAAAGAACATGTGATAGCTAGCTAGCTAGCTAGCTAGCTAGCTACACACATATAGATATAGATATAGTTATGGATATAGACAGACATAGATATACAGTTGGCCCTTGAATAACATGGGGGTTAGGGGCACTGACTCCCTGCACAGTCAAAAATTTGTGTAACACAAAGTTTAAATGCACATGTTTCTTGTTTCAGTTATATCAAGATTTCTTGATACAGAGCAGCTTCTTTCTGTTTTAGTCCAGATTCCAAAGCAAGACACGGTATGTATCTATGTATATATTATATATTATGTTACTATATTTTATGTGATATAACTTGTCTTAATGTGATATAATAATAAAAAAGTATCAAAATGTTTTGGAGGGCACCTGAGTGGCTCAGTGGGTAAGTATCTGACTCTTTGATATTGGCTTAGGTTGTGATCTTGTAGCGTGTTTTCTCTGTTGTGAGATTGAGCCCTGTGTCTAGCTCTGTGCTGAACATGGAGTGTGCTTGGAATTCTCTCTCTACCTCTCTCCCTGCCCCTCTCCCACTTGCTCCCCTTCTCTCTCTCAAAATAAATAAACCAACTTTAAAAAAAAGTTTTGGAAAAGTACTTCATTATTAATATCTGGAGCATGTTTATGCCTTTTTAAAAGAAACATTTTTTTCTTAATTTTCTATTATATGTTATAGTAAAATTAAGATTCTTAGTTGGAGAATTGGCATATTTTCATTAAGTATTAGTTTTATATATAATTTTTTAAAACTTAGATTATAATATTTAATAAATAACTAGATAAAATTTATATTAGATCCAAAGAGATAGGTGCTTCTTAAAAGTGAACATTATGTGAAGTTTGATTAGCCTTCAAATATGCTTAAACTTTAAGATGAAACATCTTTGAATATTTTTCAGATTTAAATACTTAGTGCTTATAGGCACATCCTGTAAGGAAAATCATATATGGTTTTTATTCTTCTGTTAAAGTGAACAGAAAAATACTTACTTTAACGAAATACATGCATATTTTTCCTCATATGCTTTAAAAAGAAAAGAATCTTGTACATCAGTAGTTTGATTTTAAATTGATTAATTTGCAAATCCACTGAAATCTAATTAATCTATGTTTCAGGAGTCTTTCCATATTGTAGAGATAACTTCTTTAGGTTCATTTACAATAAAAACATTATCTGATGGATGGAAATGTTTTGGCTGTTGGCCAGGCACAGAATAAGAAGTTTCCTTAAATAGTTGAAATACCTTATAATTTAATATATGCAACTGGGAAGTAACCTAAAACAACTGATGTCTGGAACCAAATTAGTTACATTCATAACAGGAGTTTGGAAGCTTTCCCTCCTCTTTAACTTTCTGGTACAGTTTGTGTAGAACTGGTATTATTTCTACCTTAAATGTTTGGTAGAGGTCACAAATGAAGCCATTAGAACCTGGACTTTTTTTTTTTTTCTAGGAAGGTTTTTGACTATAAAGTCAACTTCTTAAATAGATATGGTGCTATTCAGGTTACCTGTTTCTTGTATGAGCTTTGGTAGATTGTGTCTTTCAAATAATTTGTCATTTCACCCAACTTGTTGAATGTATTGGCATTAACATTGTTCATAACCTCCTTACTTGTACATAACCTTGTACATAACGTCCTTGTACATAACCTCCTTACTTGTACATAACCTCCTTACTTCATAACCCTCATTACACTGTTCAATAACCTCCTTACTGTCCTTTTTATATTTCTAAAGTTTGCATGATATACCTCTCTTACTCTTTATTTTTTGAAGTTTATTTATTTTGAGAGAGAGAGCATGCATGCAGGTGAGCAGAGGAGGGCAGAGAGAGAGGGTGAGAGAGAATTCTAAGCAGGTTCCTCGCTGTTGGTGCAGAGGCCAAGGAGGTGCCAGATTTCATGAACTGTGAGATCACAACCTGAGCCGAAATCAGTAGTATGAGGCTCAACCAACTGAACCACCCAGGTGCTCCCCCTCACTTATTCTTGATGTTGGTAATTGAATATTCTCTTTTTCCTTGGTTTTTTAAAGTTTATTTATTTTGAGAGAGAGAGTAAGAGCAACCAACTATGCACATGCATGCAAGCATGGGAGGAGCAGAGAGAGGGCAAGAGAGAATCCTGAATAGGTTTCACACTGTCAGTGCAGAGCCCAAGAAGGAGCTGGATCTCATGAACTGTGAGATCATGACTTGAGTCAAAATCAAGAGTTGGTTGCTTAACCAACTGAGCAACCCAGGTGCCTCTCTCTTTTTTGTTAGTCATTCTGACTAGAGGTTATCAAATTTATTGGTCTTCTCAAGAAACCATTGTTTGATTTAATTGATTTCTTTTTCATGTTCTCCATTTCGTGGATTTCTGCTTTTATCAGTCTTTTTTTTTTATTAAATATTTATTTATTTGTTATTTTTTCCCTTACAAGTTTTTAATTTCAATTCCAGTTAACATACAGTGTAACATTAATTTTTGGTGTGGAATTTAGTGATTCAACACTTGCACACACACCATCCAGTGCTCATCACAACAAGTGCACTCCTTTATATCCATTACCCATTTAACCCAACCCACTCACTACCCATCTTCCTTCTGGTAACCATCAGTTTGTTCTCTATAGTTGAAGTCTGTTTCTTGGTTTTCCTCTCCCTCTCCTTCTTCCTCTCCCTTTTTCCTTCTTCTGATTACTCTGTACTTAGTTTTCTCTTTTTTCAGGTTGTGAGGAGAGAAGCTGAATCATTCATTTGAGACTTTTTTTTTAATATAGTCATTGTAGTGCTATAAATTTCCCTCTGAGTAATGCTTTAGCTATATTTCACAATTTTTGATATGTTGTGTTTCCTTTTCCAATCAAAAATGTTAAAACTACTTTCTGATTTCCTTTTTAATTTATTCTTTGACATATGGGCTATTTTTTTGTTATTTAGTTTCCAGTATTTGGAAACTTTCTAGATCTCTTTCTGTAGAGATCTCTAATTTCATAGTGATCAAGGACACATATTGTCTAATATGAATCCTTTTAGCTTTATTGACTCATTTTTATGGCCCAGAATATGATCTTTCTTGTAAATGTTCCATGTATGTTTGAAAACAATGTGTATTTTGCTGTTGTGGAATTGAATTTTCCATGAATGTCCATTCAGGTTGATTGATAGTGTCTATATCTATATCTTTATTGTTTTGGGGGATCTATTTATTGTATCAATTATATATCTATTGTTTTGGGGGATCTATTTATTGTATCAATTATTAAGAAACAGATGCTGATATCTTCAACTATAATTGTGGATTTGTCTATTTCTCTGAAGTTCTTTTCTTTTTTATACAGTGGACATTTTGTATATACTATTAATTTGCATATATAAAGTTCAAAATCATTTCCTTCTCCCTCATTTTTTTTTTCTTTTTCAAGTTTTTATTTCAATTTTAGTTAACATACAATATACTATTAGTGCCAGGTGTAGAATTTAGTGGTTTATCACTTACATGCAACACCCATTCTCATCACAAGTGTCCCCCTTAATACCTATCACCAATTTAAACCCATACCCCTGCCCATCTCCCCTCCAGTAATCCTCAGTTCTTTATAGTTACAAGTCTGGTTTATTTATTTATTTGTTTTTCTTTTTTGAGGGAGAAAGAGAGTGTGCATACCAGCAGGGGAGGGGCAGAGGGAGAGGAAGGGGGAGAATCTTGTGGGGCTTGATCTCACAACCGTGAGATCATGACCTGAGCCAAAATCAAGAGTTGGGTGCTTAACCAAGTGAGCCACCCAGGCTCCCGAAGAGTCCGTTTTATGGTTTGCTTCTCTCTCATTTTTTCCCCCCTATGTTCATCTGTTTTGTTTCTTAAATTCCACATGTGTGAAGTCATGTGGTATTTGTCTTTCTTGGACTGATCTCACTTAGCATAATACTCTAGCTCAATCCACATCATTGAAAAATGGCAAGATTTCATTCCTTTTGATGGCTGAGTACTATTCCATTGTATATATGTACATCTTCTTTATTCATCAGTTAATGGACATATGGGCTCTATCCATAATTTGGCTATTAATAATGCTGCTATAAACATTGGTGTACATGCATCACTTTGAATCCGTATTTTCGTATCCTTTGGGTAAATACCTAGTAGTGCAATTGCTGGGTCATAAGGTAGTTCTGTTTTTAACTTTTTGAGGAACCTCCATACTATTTTCCAGAGTGGTTGCACTTGTTTCAGTCCCACCAACAGTGTAAGAGGGCTCCCCTTTCTCCGCCCACATTCTTGTCAACACTTGTTGTTTCCTGTGTTTTTTATTTTAGCCATTCTGACAGGTGTGAGATGATATCTAATTGTAGTTTTGATTTGTATTTCCCTGATGATGAGTGATGTTGAGCATCTTTTCATGTGTCTGTTAGCCATCTGGATGGCTTCTTTGGAAGAATGTCTATTCATGTCTTTCTGCCCATTATATTATTTGGTTTTTGAGTGTTGAGTTTTATAAATTCTTTATATGTTTTAGATACTAACCCTTTATCTGATATGTCATTCACAAATATCTTCTCCCATTCCATCAGTTGCCTTTAAGTTTTGTTGATTGTTTGCTTCTTTGTGCAGAAGCTTTTTATCTAGATCAAGTCCCAAAAGTTCATGTTTGCTTTTGTTTCCCTTGCCTCAGGAGACATATCTAGTAAGAAGTTGCTGTGGCCAAGGTCAAAGAGGTTGCTGCTGTGTTCTTCTCTAGGATTTAGGTCTTTCATCTATTTGGAGTTTATTTCTGTGTATGATGTAAGAAAGTGGTCCAGTTTTCAGTTTCATTTTTCTCCGTGTCAATGTCCAGTTTTCCCAACACCATTTGTTGCAGAGAATGTCTTTTTCGATTGGATATTCTTTCCTGCTTTGTTACAGTTGTGGGTTCATTTCTGCATTTTATATGCTGTTCCATTGATCTGTGTATCTGTTTTTGTGTCAGTACCAGACTGTCTTGATCACTACAGCTTTGTAATAGAATTTGAAGTCCAGAATTGTGATGTCTCCAGCTTTGCTTTTCTTTTTCAAGAATGCTTTGCTGTTTGGAGTCTTTTGTGGTTCCATACAAATTTTAGGATTGTTCTAGCTCTGTGAAAAATGGTGGTGGTATTTTTATTTTTATTTTTATTTTTTAATATGAAATTTATTGTCAAATTGGTTTCCA